CACTCCTTTTCCCCCCACCTGAGTAAAGACATAATAAAAATCAATTTCTAGAGCCAAGAAAGTCAGACAAACTGAAAAAAAATGTTTTACTAAAAGACATATATTATAAAAGTAATCAGTAGATAATAGATAAAGGAAATGATAAATAGAATTACACACAAGTGAATAAACATACAGTGTTGAACAGAATTTACACATTTAAATGTAGAAATTAGAAACTCTAAACACCAAATTATCTATCTTTGTTGGTGTCTTCAGTCTAGGGTTTCTAGTGCTGTGACGAAACACCATGACCAGAAGCAACTCGGGGAGGAAAGGGTTTGTTTGGCTTATATAACCTTAGTCACCATCCATTAAGGAAAGCCAAGGCAAGAACTCAACAAGGTGGTTACCTAGAGGTCAGAGCTGATGCAGAGACCATGGAGGATTGCTGCTTAATGGCTTGCTCCGAATGAGTTGCTCAGCCCACTTTCTCAAAGAACGAAGACTGGCCCCACCCACAATGAGCTTGGCCGTCCTACATCAATCAGAAATAAAGAAAATGCCTTCCAGGATTGCCTATAGCGTGATCTTATGAAGGCATTTTTCCAGTGAAGCTCCCTCCCCCTGATGAATCTAGGTTGTATTAAGTTAACATGAAACTATTCAGCACAGCGGCCATTGCTTTTAAAAGCCGAGGTTATTATTCCAATCTGATCTTTGTTTTCATTTTGTTTTGTTTCTTAAATAAGCAAATAGGAAATCATTCAGGGAGGAACATAAAAACACTTTTAAATTAACTTAAACAATTATTTATTACAAAGACATATTTAATAAAAAGTTGATTTGTTATATAATAAAGAAAAGAAAACTGAGAAGCTCACTCCTCTCAAAAAAGGCAAGATTTCTAACCTTCGAGACTATTGACATAAGAAAGTTGACATCAGTAAAAAGGAATGGATATATCAAATATCAATTTAGGAAAGCATTTCAGAGTAACTCCTAAATAGAATAGTTTATTTGACAAGCTATTCCATTGGTGTTCAGCAGATATGTCAGTGATAGAAAAAGAAAAAAAATGTCTACAGCACAGAAACAATCAAGTTTTAAAAACAGGAAAGCAAAAGCTGGTGAGCTGCTAAGTGGGTAAGGGTGCCTGATGCTTAGTCTGTAGCCCTGAGATTAATGCCCAAGGCCTAGCCTACATGTTGGAAGGAGAGAACCAGTTCCTGTAAGTTATCTTCTAACCTCCACATGTATGTCAGATGTCTCTTTGCCAACATACTTACACACACACACACCAAGCTGTCTGGAATTAACATAGACTAATGATGCATATTAACGAAGAGAACAAAGGCACACTTGTGATTGAACTTTGAGGACTATCCTCTGGGTTACCACAAAAGCTCTGAGAACACAGCTCCAATTAGAGTCCTGTCACACCATATTTTATTTGCAAAGCCATCTCTCCTTTCTATCACTTCATGGCAAGGCAAATATTCAGTAACAGTTTACTGAATAAAAGCATGAATTGTTTGGAACTGAAGAAGGATAAAAAGAAAACAAGCCTACACCAGGCAGGACACTAGGGAGTTGCTTTGGTCCAGTGTCTGTTAACCCAGCACAAAGTAAGAGCCTATTTGTAAAAAATGACCTGGAGTACCCAGAGGGAAGAAGCTAAAGAGTGAAGACAAGGGAAGCTGGATTATTCCCAGAAGCTCAGCTCTCTAAAGAAGAGAGGAGCCCTATTCAGTACTGACAGAAATCAAGTAAGGGATGAAGGTGACAATGTAGTCACACTGAATTCAGAAGTATACTGCTAATTTTGTAAAGAAACACAACTTTTTAGCATCTGGACCCTGATGATTAATGAATCAGCTGCCAGAAACTCCCAATGAAGCTAATTAAACAGTGTAAAGACAGTGGACCAATTGAAAGCAGTGTGCTAACAGTGTTACAGGAATGTTAAATAAATAATAATAGTAATAAAGGCATAATTAATGGCACATAAGCCAGAGAGCTAAGGGATTCAAGTCTTAGACTTGGCCAATTTCTTTTGTGAGCTTCACTGAGCTATTTATGCTACTAATTAGTATAAATAAATAGCATTATGGAGTGGAGGTTAGTATTATGAGCCCTAACAACTGAAGAATTAAGCTGAGGTTGACTACTGAATATGACTGACAATGAACAAATGACTCAATTTTTACTCTATACCTGATCCATGATATTGCATATTTATACATTCATCTTTATCACAATCATATAAGATATATTAAACTTTTTCAAGCTTTTAAATTTAACGGTTAAATCTAAGTCACCATGACACTGTCTAATATCCGTATTAGTATAAAAATATGATTGTTTTATAAATGATACTTGATGCCTCCTCCCTCCTAATAACAATGACAATAAACTGACTCCTTTGTTATTACAGGCTTTCCGTTTACAAAGCACTTTCGCAAATATTAGTTGAAGCAGCCTTACCTATAATCTGACCACTCCTTTCACAAGCATATTAAGTATGAGTTGATGTTACAGAAAACACTATCACCTTCCAACTACTCATAATATACTCCCTCTGTGTATATGGAATTTCTGATTCTTTCAACGTACTTTCACACATATCAATTGGGCAGGGGCATTAGGAATAATCTTTGTATTCTTTGTATCATCCCATTAAAAACAATCTCAAAAAAAAAAAAAAGAGCGACTAAGAATAAGTAAGAGAAATGATTTTGAGGCAACTGATTCATGGTTCTTTTTTTGGGAAGTGTGGGAAATGGGCTTTTGAGACAGAGTTTCATGTAGTCCAGGTTGGTCTCAAATTCACTAGGTAGTGAAGGATGTCTTTAAACATCTGATTCTCCTGTCTCCACCTTTCAAGTGCTGGGATCACAGACATGTACTAACATGTCAGTCATAACCCACCACTCTTGAACTGGATTCAGATCTCCCAAAAGTCTTGGAAGCAGAGCAACTCTTTGGGACAGTAAGCTGATGCCTCTGTCTTTCAGGATGGCTTAGGAAGCAGCAGGACAGAGTGACTAAAATGTAACTGTGAACTGAGCTGAGGTTGGTAGCCTGCTTGCTTAGCCTGCAAGAGGCCATGGGTCCCCTACCAGCACCTCATAAATTGGGAATGGTTTCTCAAAAACAGCAATAAAGAAATATATATGGGGCCAGGCATGACGGTACATACCTTTAATCCCAGCATTCAGGGAGCAGAGGCAGGTGGATCTCTGAGAGTTCAAGGCCAGCTTGGTCTATACAGCAAGTTCCAGGACAGCCAGGGCTACATCAAGTTTCCTTCCAGGGGAAAAGCTCTGCCTCTAGAAGCAGTGCTTAGCCACTACACAACCTTGAGAGCTAAGTAGACACATTGTTCTCTGGGGAGGTGGGGTATGCTGCTTCAGCCAAGCATGGTCTGGCTCCATGAGTGTGATCAGTTGTTCCCCAAACTGTATGCATTTCAGGCACTAAGAAACTGAAATTCCAAGAATGTTATTAGGAAGGGGGAGAGGAAAGGCAAAACTAGATGCTTGATAACAAACTAGTAAATAACTACTAGAAGCCACAAAGGGATCCAGATATGTTCCTCATAAAGTTACAGATGAGTTCCCATGAAAACTTTAAATAAAAGCTCACCTTTATTTAATTTGTAATTTAAATAAAAACATGCTGATTAACATCACTCTAACCCCCTGTTCAAATTATCAAACTAGAACTGTCAGAATAAGACATATATGTATAGTTAAAAGTACCTGCAGCATGTACATAATTAGAGTATTAAAAGTAAAATTCTTTTATTAAGATTTGGGGGGTTTATTTTTAATTAATTTTCATTTTTAAATTTAAAATTTTAATTTAAATGAGTGTTTAATTTTAATGAGTGTTCTCTATGAGAACCATGCATGCCTGGTGCTCAGAGGCCAGAAGAGAGGTTCAGATCTCTGGAACTGAAGTAACAGATGGTTGTGAGCTATCATGTGAGTGCTAGGAACTGAACCTCAGTCTTCTGCAAGAGCAGCCAGTGTTCTTAACTGCTGAGCTAACTTTCCAGTCTCAAAAAATAAAACTCTTAAATCATGCCTTAATTCTAATAATCAAATTATTAATAAAACTGACAAAATATTATATGGTATTAAATAAAAGAAAAACAGACAGATAACAGGTGATGCTTCTCTGTGGTCAGGCACTTGCCTAGTCTACAAAGCCTTGGTTTCCATCCCAAGTACCACAAAAAGTAGTAATAATTGTTTGGGGAACTAAGGACAGAGCTCAGTGGTAAAGCATCTGCCTAGTGTGTGTGAGGCCCTGGGTTGTATCTCCATCACCAAAACCCAAACTTGGTAAAATTTATATAAAGTTTTTAAAAAATTAAGTTCCTAAACCATACCAATGTTGACATATAATATAGAGAACAACGAACGTTATTATATTACTAGCAGGAAAAACACTTATGGCATATTCCTTATCTAAATTATATGAGAACAAATCTTCTTTATATCTGGGAAATTTCTGCCTGAGTTGTACAGAGAATAGTCAGAAAAGCTGCAATTACATGGGTATCATATAATCTGCATCTATTTCGTTTTATTGCTTCGGTGGAATTGCCAGATAAAAATGTGGGATAGAGTATTATTACATGAGCACTTATACTGAAAAATGAGTGAGTCTGGAGAGATGGCTCAGGTGTTAAGAACGTGCCCTGCTGGTCAAGAGGACCTGGGCTCAGCTCTCAGCACTGGTGTTGGGCAACTCATAATGAGCAGCATTAGGAAATCTGACTTCTTCCTCCGACTCTGAAGGCACCCCCACACATGTGGCACACAGACACACAGACACAGACACATAACTGAAAAATAAAATATTTTTAAAAGCCTAGGGTTCATCAGAAAGTGGGCATCCCATATTGCTATTTACAAAACCAGGGACTTCTATCTTTCAGAATAAAATCTATTTCAGAAAATGCCAAACTCTTTGACAGAGATTTAGCCTCATGGACGTTAATTGTTTACCTTGTAGAAACTTCTTGAAGACCAAGCCACCATGAACATTTCCTGTAGCAGCAACTGTATGAAAAAAAAAAAAAACCACAGAAAAAATGTAAAACAATTATGTATATTTGACTTTAAACAATCATTGCTTTTAGGTACAGAATAATAAAAGGAGACCTTATTAATGAGTTCAGAATAAATAGAGGGCAAAAGAGGTACTATAAGGTACAATGACTATGTGGGGGCTGATGATAGCCAAGGGCAATTCTTTTCACCTATATTTAGCACCTATAATCAACACCAGGACTGTTCCTTCAGATGCTATTATACATGAAAGAACATGATTACGGGAAACTCCAAACCACAACCATTGATCAGAGTACATGATGCCAGTAACTAACGTTTGAATTTAAGACTCAATTAAAATATTGGCCCTTTTTGAACCAATTTTACTCTGAAATAAAAAATATTTTGCTAGTCAATTGGTTTAAAAATTACTTGTACCTAGATTTCAAAGAAGAGCCAACATTTTGTCCTCCCTTTAAATTGAATTTAATTAGACCTTTTACCTCCTATTTTTGGCATCCTAAAGGCCAGCCCTCCCTAACCCTGATTCAGGGAGAAGCTGTTCCTGAATATGCTTAAGTATGAGCCTATGATGAAAGCCAACCTTGTCTTTTTTAAAGTGGAGTTGGTGAATCTAAACACAGAGCCCTCAGATAACTAACACTCCTTTCTCCCTTGCTTCAGAAATGTTAGCTGTTAGGTCTTTACCCATTCTAAGAGTAAAGACACAACAAAACTGATCTTGAAAAAAAAATGAGGTTTCCTCAACAAAAAGTCGAAAGAAAAACTGAAGGAAATTACCTCAAAATTGAAAATAGGGGAGAAAATAAAGTTCCACAAACCCGCTATCTAAATCATAGAAACTACTGTAGAAGAACTGCAAGTAAAATTTACCACACCCAAGGGGCACGGGTTACATGAAAAAGGCTGAACACTGGGCACAGTGGAGGGAAACCTGAGCAAGGCACAGTACCATGAATTTTCAGAACAATGAAGATAAGAGACAGCTGATTCTCAGTCTATTCTCCTCTTCCTAAGCACAATTAGACTGCATCTTATAGGCTCCTTTGCAAATGCAGAGAAATTATGACAATGAGACTCAGGCCAGAAGAATGGGAACATATAATTTCCAAACCTATCCTTAAAAATATTGGAATGATAAACCTTCTACTCTTTCTCCATCCTTAGATGAATGGCTAGATAGACGGCCTTAAGGAACATGAAGACACAAGACTAAAATATCTTAGATTCTACATCAAAACAAAATACATCCCTGTGCATATACATTCACTTGTTGGTAAAATAAAAGAAAAACAAATATTTCATGTGTAAAGTCACTGAAATTTCAAATTTATTATATTTAATAAAACAAAGATAAAGAAAATATTATATAAGCTTACAGGAAGAAAAAAGAAAAGTAGGCCATATACAGGATAATCATAAAGACTTCAGAATTTTTAATAGCAACAGCTGAGTTACTAAACAACATTGATACATCATAAAAATTCTGAAGAGAAATGAATTCTGACTTAAAATCTTATTCTCTGCCAAACTATCAATCAGGTGTGAAGTGAAGACATTTTCAGAAACAAAAGACTGCAAGAAACACACACGCACACACACACACACTCTCTGATTAATGATGGAGAGAAGGCCCCAAAACAAATAGCTATATACTAGATACAAAAAGCACCAAAACTAGAACAGGTTGGAGGCCAACATGGTGGCTTATGTCTATAATCCTACCACTCAGAAGGCTAAGGCAAGAGGACTGCTATAAGTTCAAAGCCAGCCTGGGCTACACAGTGAGACCCTAGCTCAGAAACTCAAAACGAGATTGGGGCTGTAGCTCAGGCAGTAGAGGGTCTGCCTAGTATGAACAACTAACACGGGTTCCCAGAAGTATGTACACCAGCTGTGGTAGTGTACATCTGTAATTCTACTATGCTGGAAGTAGAGGAAGGAGGAGTCCAAGTTTAGGGTTATCCTTGGCTACATGTTGAAACTGAGGTCAACGTGAGCCAGACAAGACCCTTTCTTTAAAAGCCAGTAATAACAATGCCTTGTTGTTTTTTTTTTTTTTTAAATTAAGGGTCCAGAAAGATGCTCAGCAGCTAATAGTGCTTAGTATTCTTATTAAAAAACAAAAACTATAGTTCCCAGAACCCATTGGGCAGTTCACAACCTCTATAATTCGAGCTCTGGAGGAATCTAACACCTCTAGCCTCCTTGGGCACTGGCATTCACATGCACATACCTACACACGGAAACACATGTAAAATTAAAAATAAACCTTTTTCATGAAAAATATATTACAATACCTTTAGAACAAGTAGTTAAAAATAGTTAATATAGTTAAATGTATAAGAGTTGAGGAGGGGAAACAGGGGGCTGGGCCATCTCGTAGCCCTTTTGGGGCATGTGAGTGTATACAGTACATCAGGGTGTGGTGCAAGAAATTGTGTGCATGCATCTGTATGGAGGCTAGAGGTTGATATTGCACTTCTTCCTTACCTATTTCTTTACCTTATTTTTCCCTTCTTTTCATGTGTATGTGGTATTTGAGTGTGTGTATGTGTATGCGTGCATGTGTAGGGCCAGGATTGATGTTAGGAATCTTCCTCAGTTGCTCTTCCATTTTATTCTATGAGGTGCGGTCTTTTTCACCCAGAGCTCACTTGTATGGCTAGTCTCACTAACCAGTTTGCTCCTAGCATCCCTAGTTTCTGCTTTCTAAGGCTCAAATTATGAGCAGTCTACCGTATCCACCAGCATGTACATACATTCTGGGTATTGGCCCTCTCATCCTAGGCTGACCTGGAACTCATTATATCTGCCTGGCTGACCCCAAAGTCAAAGCAATCCTCCAGCTTCGGTCTCCCAAGTGCTGTCACCACCATGCCTGGCCTGCACTCTCCCGTTATTAAAACTGTGTACTTATGTAACTGACAAAACCTAAAACGGAGGAAGTTTGCGTGTTTCCAAAAATTAATGAAATTAATGAAGTACATTTTGACATGATAACACAAAACACTGCCCACTTTTACTAAAAAGCACATGAGACTCTAATATACCAATTCTGTTTCTTTTAATGTTTTTTTGTTTTTGTTTTTGTTTTTGTTTTTTTTACGACAAGGTCTCTCTGTGTAGTACTGGCTATCCTGGAACTCGTTCTATAGACCAGGCTGACCCAGAACTTACAGAGGAGCCTCTACTTACTGGGATAAAAAGTATGTGCCACCGTTTATTTCTTTAAAAGGTCAGTAACTGTACACACATACACAGAAGAATCTAGTGTACTGGGTGTTAATAATTATTTCAAGGAATCAGATAGAGAGTCTCACTCTCCATAATGTTTCTATAATGACACTATGTCAAGTGTATATCACCTTTTTTCTTGATAGATTATAACTCTAACTACATAAAGATCAGAAAAAACAAAATAAATGCCATCTATACCAGACATGCTGAAGAAGACCATTGCGCTGAAGATTCCATGACACTGGGTCATTTTTTGTTTGTTTGTTTGTTACTGGTTTGTTTTTTGTTTTTGTTTTTCGAGGCAGGGTTTCTCTGCATAGCCTTGGCTGTCCTAGAACTCTCTATGTAGAGAGTTGACAGAGTTTCAGGCTGACCTCAAACTCACAGAGGTTCACCTACCTCTGCCTCCCAAGTGCTGGGATTAAAGGTGTGTGTCACTATTGCTGGGCTAGAATGTGGGTTTCTAGATAAGAGTATACAACATTCATCTTTTCTTTTCTCTTCCCTCTTCTTTCCTTTATTTTTGCCTCTTTTGTAATTGCCAAAGTCCAAACATGAAGAAAAGGTAAAACTCAATATAATTTTGTTGTGAAAAAAATAATTTAAAACTAAGAACAAAAGTAAAATTGTTTTTGAGCAATTTTAAGAAAGCTATATTCTCACAATAATAATAATTCTATTTATCTTCCCTATATCACACATTTACAAATTCATTACCAAATACTTATTAAAAATCATTTGGCTTTATAGCTACACTAGAAAAGATTATGACAAGTGGAAATTTTTATACAAACTATGACATGCATCACAACAAAACAAAAATAGATAATCAATGATTTTCTTCCTCTACTTACTAGTTGTTATACAATGAAGAGAATTTGGCAGGTGCTTAGAATTTAATGCTTCTATGGAAATCACTAGCTGTCCCTCTAGTAAAGCTCCCTTTGATATTCCTGCTTCACACTTCCAGTAAATTATTAAATATCTCAAAATCTGAAAAGAGCACAATTAAAATAGAATATAACTTTTAAAATCATGGTCCTAATAAATTTGCATGACACAGTTAAAATTCTATTATAAAATACCTTATTCCTAGCTGGGCACAGTGGCGCATGCCCGTAATCCCAGTACTCAGGAAGGCAGAGGCAGGTGGATTGCTCTGAGTTCAAGGCCAGCCTGGTCTACAAAGCAAGTCCAGGACAGCCAGGGCTGTTACACAAAGAAACCCTGTCTCAAAAAAAACAAAAACAAAAACAAACAATCTTATTCCTGTTTATAAAATGTCAGATTTACCTTTGCTCAGAGCACACCATTGTATCTAAACCCAAAATATACATGAGTAGGCAGTATAATTCAATATAATGCACCCTAAGTTGCTGGGTAAGTTCATCTGGAAAGGAAAATTAAACAGCAGTTTGTTTTTATTTTCTCCCCAATTAAAAAAAAAAAACAACCTAGGTGCCAAAAAAGTGGCACCTAGGTATGAATCATGTTTGCCATTCATTAAATCAGAAGGAGAGATATACTTTTTAGCTATGTTGTTTGAGAATGCTGGACAGGGGCTGCAGAAATGGCTCTAAAGTTAAGTTGCTGTTCTTGCAGAAGACCAGAGTTCAGTTTCCGGCACCTACAAAATACCTCACAACTTTGCTTTGTAGATTGGGCTGGTCTCAAACTCAGAGATCCACCTGCCTCTGCCTCCTACCTGCCACAACACCTCGCCTAAAAGACTTATTTTTATGTGTACAAGTGTTTTGCTTGTATACGCATACATGAACCACATGCTTGCTGCCCATGGAGGTCAGAAGGCAGCACTGCCACCAGGGTGCTGGGAATCAAACTCCTGGCATTTGCAAAGGCAACAAATGCTCTAAAATGTCTCAGCCAACCTTTTTTTTTTTTTTTTTTTTTTTAAGGCAGAGAGTTCTGAGTAAGCAAATTTGGGGTTTAAGATCCTGATTTTTCCCGGAGTTTATGAGGATGGTTTCCAGGCACTTCTACAGTCTACCATCTTCCTTCACGTTATCTTTTGATTTCCTGTGCTCTCTCTGTTCAGATTTTCCCAGTGCCTTTATGTGCAATGATAGCAGTTGGGAAAGGAAAACTGGCTGATGAGTCAGAACCCTGGGTTCCATCCCAGGTTCTGTCATCTTGTAAAATCTAACCCCCCAACTTCCTTTGGCGATGACAAAGAAGACACCCAGGACCAGGAATAGTCTAAGTTATCTCAGAGCCTGTGATTCTATTTTGTTTTGTTTTTTGGTTTTTCGAGACAGGGTTTCTCTGTGTAGCCTTGGCTGTCCTGGACTCACTTTGTAGACCAAGCTGGCCGCAAATTCACAGAGATCCGCCTGCTCTGCCTGCCAGAGTGCTGGGATTACAGGAGTGGGCCGCAGTGCCCGGTTCTGTACAGTGTTCTTTAGAAGGCTTGGCGCTAAGTGTCCCATTAGGTAATGGTTGCCAAGTTCAGCAATGAACACATGTTGCTAGCTGGCACCAGGTGTTCATTCAGTGCTGTCTTCCGGAACTGAACCGTTCTCTGTCCACAGGTATGGGGAAGCTAGGATGAGCCCTTGGAGTCGACCTTTCATCATTCAGCCGGCAACTCTGCGCCTCACGGTGGCTGCCCCAAGGGTGTACCCCACCTCGTCCTCATGCTCCCATTTTGCATGGACTGGAACCTCCTAGCCTAGCATCTGACTCCCTCACCCACCTTTTCACGGCTGTACATTTTCTTCCAGCCTTTCCTAGTCCCCTCTCAGCACAGGTGGGTAAAAACGCTGGGAATCAAGTTAGCCGACCACCGAGCCCCTCTCAGAATCATCTCAGGTTTGGCAAACACCATAGGTCGTGGGCCTTCGCGTTCTCAGCTTTAGGTGGTGGTGGTAGCTCGACCGACGGCAAACCCGGAACACACTGGTTCCTCACAAAGGACCCACGAGGGTGATGGATGGCCCTGATCTCCATACCTGGGGACTCAAGCCCTTCCCAAAATCCCAAAGAAAGCGGGATTTAAATTTTTTCTAGCCAAAGCCAGAGATGGTGGCACACGCCTGTAATCCCAGCACTCGGGAGGCAGAGGCAGGCAGATCTCTGTGAGTTCGAGGCCAACCTGGTCTACAAAGCGAGTCCAGGACAGCCAAGGCTACACAGAGAAACCCTGTCTCAAAATTCACAAACAAATTCTAGCCATTCATGGCGTTTTCTCCTCCACCTCAGGAAACGCCCCTCAGCCCAAACTTTGGAGGTCTCCTCAGGAAGCACCCTTCTCAGCAACGTGTCTTCCTCTCCCTTCCCAGCATCACCTCGCAGACAGCCAAAGCCGTGCCCTCCATTCCGCGGGGAGAGCGGCGGCAGCTCTCGGGACCGCTAAGTTGGGCACAACTCCTCTTCAGTGAGCGCTTCGACCTAGACGAGGGCGCCGCCGGCCAGCCCCTTCCCGCCCCGCCCCTTCCCGCCCCGCCCCCAGGCCTCGCGCCTGCGCACTGCGGAGCTGCCCGGGGCGGCCCGCGCGGGTAGGCGGATGGGCGGGGTGACAGGTGGCTCAGCTGCCAAGGTTGGAGGCGAGCCGCGAAGCGGCTGGCCGGGCGGTGGCTCCTCCCGAGGAGACTTTCCCACGGTCTCGCCAAGACGTGGCCCTCGGCCCTTTTCAAAGCGCTTCGGCCGCCCTCCTTGGCGTGTTCCAGGGCAGGTCCCTGGAAAGCCGCGGCTGCGTGGTGCAGGATCCCCGAGCTGGCTCTAGACCCCAGACGGCTTAGCCTTCTGTTCTGCGGGCGCCACCGGGGGCCAGACACCGCTTCCCACATCTGACACAGGGAAATATGGGTGGCCAATTTTAGGTGAACGCTCTTCCTCCCCGCCCCACCCCCCGTATTATGTATCATGCAATAAGATTTGGGACAAAGACTAAGAAATTTATTTTGAAGCTCAAAACTGGGAGTCCTGTGTTTATTTGGCAGCTTGACCCCAAGCTTCTCCTCAGTCTATTCCAGGAGGAGCCTGGGAGCTTCCCACTCCCCAGGAGACCCTTCCTTCTCCACGTTTGTCTTCACAGAATGCGTAGCTGACAAGCAACTCTCAGTGTCCCCAGCTAGAAGGAAGGAGGGGGAATAGTCCTACAGGCTGCGGAACCGGCTTAGTGAGACGGACTTTGGCTCCCAACTACCGGGAATCTGACAGATTGTTCCGTAGGCTGCCAAAAGAAGACGCTGGTTTGAGAGAGTCTCGCCTGGCAACCACTTACCCAAGGAGAAGGGTGGAACTGGGTGTTGGCCTCTTTCCTTCAGAGAAAATTCTTCCTCTCCAGAAGCCCGTATTGGGCAGAACAGGCTGTGGCGCTGGCAGAGTGCCTGCCCAGCGCACAGCCTTGGTGCTCCCTCAAAGACTGTGTCTATGGGGACCTGAATCATAACCCTTTGCAGGGTACTCAGAGCTCTGCCATCTCAGGTGTTCACAGCTAGACATACTGGGGAGGTCGCTTTCACTTCCGGAACGTTCATTTTAATCATCAGAACTGATAAAAAGCTGACATTTGGGAAGTCACTGGAGCCTTTCCCTCCTTGTCACATCTCTTTTTAAAAATATTTCCCCTTGAAAATGTCATTTCAGCAGAAATGCTCCGCCTTGAACATACCACTGGAGATGAAGGCTGGAGGAACAACAGCAAAGTACTTGAGCTGAGTTGGTTGTCTTGGCTTCCAGCCCTCTTGCAATGTGCCTCGGGGATAGAGGTGCAGGGAACTCCCAACACTGCTCAAAAGGTAGGTGTATGCCTAACAAAGGTAGCCTGAGAGAGAATGCCCTCACTAGTGAATCTAGGCCAAAGTTGGGGGAGCCTTTGATAGAAGGGCCCTCCTTCAGGACTTGGTGTTTGTTGAGCCCTGGCTCTGTGCTGTACAGACTCTGCTTCTTTTCAGCTCCCTCTGTGTAACAGGTATTATAAACAGTGAAAACGAGGCTCCAAGGAGAAGGTGTATAACACCCAGCTTGTAAATGTCAAACCAGAATCTTAAAACAAAAATATCTCTTAAATCCTTTCTGCGATTCTCTCCAGCTACCCAGCTGTGGACGAGACCCACCTAGCTGCCTGGGGGTTCTGTGGTGGGAGATTATTGGTGTCACCACAAAATGCTAACCCCCTTCTACAAGATCCAAGGAACCACTGCAGTGATGCCCTTATCTCCCACAGACCAGGACTTGAATAAGCCACCGCTTCCAAGTACCTTGCTCATCACTGTGCATCTCCAACCTGTTTGGATGTGGTAAGTAATACGCTGTTGGATTCCGCATTATAAAACCATGTTTACACAGATTCCTTCCTCAGACTGCTGAGGTGATCACTCATCTTCAATAGGTTTAAGATGTGTGAAGCCCGAAGAAATCAAACGACTGACTAAGGTAAGGCCACATGGCCAACCAGGTCAGCCGAGAAGCCTTTGCCTATAACTGTCAGCCCTGACCTTTGGTGCCTTACCAGGTCTCACTGATTCCGAGGCTGTGGGGTGGTGCACTGGCTGTGTTGTCATTCCTCTACCTAATCAGAAACTGGATTTATGTTTCATGTCCGCTATCAATATTTTGGTTCTGAGGGCCTGTTAGGCTGCCTTTCTTTTTTCGGTGTTTTCTCTATACACATCCCAGACACTTGTTAGGTTGTGCTTATTCTCAAGTTCCTCCAGGTCATTTACATGCCCTGAAAGAAGCCAGCCTTACAAATTTAGATGGAGAATGTCCCTGCAACTCCCTCCCTTGTTAAGCTGTTGTGAAGTGGGAGGCTGGAGAGACAGCTCAGAGGTTAAGAGCACTGCCTCTTCTTCTGGAGGACCGGGGTTCAATTCCCAGCACCCATGTGGCAGCTCACAACAGTCAGTAACTCCAGTTCCAACACAGACAGACATGCAGGCAAGACAGTGATGTACATAAAATAAAAATAGATAATTTAAAAACTGTTGTGAAATAAGGTTCATCTGAGCTCTTTCTCCCCCAAGAAACTTTTACAAGAAGCTGTTTCCCATACAGACAATGAGAAAGGGTTAACCGTTTTTCTCAGGTCCTGAGAGAAGTCTGTCTGTCCCCCACCAGTTCCCATAACCGGGTTTCCTGAAATGGAGCAGGTCCCAGGTGCCTCTCTACTAATCACATCCTTGCAAATGGGGCCATGAGCTCAGATTAGCTCATCCCTCACCTTCTCGAGGCCTTCTCCACCTGGAGCACAGAATCTGGGGCAACCTCACCACTGACTTCCTGTCAGGGGTCAGGTAGGGATGCTCTTGCAGAGGGATAGGTTAGGGAGCACCAGAGGCCATAGGGGTGCTGACTGCCATACCAGTTCATGGCTACAGCATCTGTTCTAAGACTTGCAGGCAAAGGGCAATACCAAGGTTTACATAACTGAAATATTTTCTTCTTCGCCCCCATTCCCTATGCTTTTTCTTCCTCTCCTTTTTAAAATGACTGGCTCTGGTACAAAGTGGCTTCCTGTTTTTCCTGGCTGAGTCACCCTTCACACAGTCTGATTTCTCATCTACCAGCAGCAGGTGCTAGGCCAGCCAGGAGATTTCATGCCTTTCCTTTTCATATCAATTCTCCTTTGCTGGAAAGAAAAAATAATAATAACCTACAAAATCTATATCACAAAGCCATAATTAGCTTTTGACCTTCTCTGTAAACAGAGCTGGATTTGTCTGGCCAGCTGATACATACTAGGAGAGAAGTTGGCTTTGTGACCGAGAGAATGAAAGAAGCCAAGTAATTTGGTCACACGAAAGACTATTGGTCTGAAGGCCAGACAACCAACTGGATTTGAAAGACACGTATGCTAATAGATGTGAAGAATCACCTAGGAGCTTCATTAGGAAGATGTTGGTGCTACAGTCCAGTCTCTGGTCAGTCTTTGAGACCAGTATTCCAAAGCACCTCACCAGGAACTCGGGCCCATGCAGGCTTACAGCCAATAAGCTGGAACTCTCTAAAGGTGACTTGATTTTGTTCAAGTTGGCTTTAATGGCTGTCTTCTGTTTCCCCAACTTTCTTTTTCACAAGTTGAAAAGAGGCTGCGGGATCAAGAGTCTGAAAGCGTCTGGATGTCTGACTCCTTCCCGCTTTACCACTTACTTCAGATGCTGTGTTCTCATTTTCCACAATTAAAATAGAAATATCTCCGAGGAATATCATTAGAATAACATCTATGAAGCAATTTGGGAGTTAAGATCTTTAAATTACAAGAAATTTTAGAGGCCATTTAATCCTGTATTTCCCAGCCAGAGAAGTGATGTTTGTTCCAATTTCTTCCCTCCTCCTTGACAGCCACTCTCTTTGCTCTGTCTTTTCCTGGTATCCAAGGTAGAGAATCAAGCAGTTTGCAGAGCGTACTTAAGATTAGGAAACATTGGACCTAACTTCATACAATAGTTAAGCTGTCAGTCACTCAAGTTGATATCTAGGATTTACTTGACTGTCTTGTTAGGAAATTTGCTACCACAAACCATTACACTTTGAAAAGCAGTGGTTTGGAAAGAGTTTTTTTTTTTGTTGTTGTTGTTTTTTTTTCAGGCATAGCCACTGCCATCTTTCCCCATTTCCCTAGCCCTGTGTCTTCCACTCATTAGTCACAGATCTGTCCTTTGGAACCACAGAGAATCCATCTAATCCCTTTATAAAAGGCCCTGGGGAATAGTCGGGAAGGTTATTGTTAACCTGTCACAGCGGTTCAGACCTGGCCCGGATGATTGTATTATAGATGACCTGAGCTTGGCACACATGTTATATCCCTAAAACATTGTATAAACCAGTTTTGTGTGAATCAAATCATTTTAGACATACAGGGACGTTGACTGCTTTAAAAACCCTGTTATCAGTTCTTTCGTGAACGGAAGTGGGGGCTGGGCATTGAACCTGGGGCTTTATATATGCTGGGCAAGCACTCTACCACTGAGCTACATCCTGCTCGTTTTACATTTTAGTTTTGAAACAAGCTCTGTCTTACTAAGCTGCCCAGGCTGGCCTTGAGCTTGAGTTCACTTTCTCGGCCAGGCAGGCCATGGACTTGTCATCTCACCATAGTCTCCCAAGCAGCTGGCTTGAGATCCACCAAGTCAGACTTGGACAATCTTTATCTAATGCAGAAATGTCCCCTATTCGCCTTTCGTACAAATCTAAATTTTCATACACTGTGTTTTCCTTAAGGCAAAACTGCCTACATACAGAATAATTAAAATAAAATAATGCACAGCAAACACTGTTGAGTGCTTATCTGACACCGGTGCCCTGTACCTGCCATGCATTACTTAATTTCTCACCACAACTTCCTTCTGTAAAATTATCCTAATTATTCACAAATGAGGAAATTCGGGCTTAGAGAAGTTCATATCTTTTCTAAGGTCAGATAGAAAGTGATAGACCAGAGTTCAGATACGGCCATAGTGTCCAGAGTCTGTTGTCCTCACCGTCTGGAAGCTTCAGCTGTGAGTGACAGGACAACTGAGCATAGCACCATATGAGCAAATTGGGCCAAGATACTGAAAACTGACCTCAACATCCACAGCTTCAAAGACATACTCAAAACTGACTCTTCTTGCCTATGGGCATTGTACATTTCCCACAACCATTCACAAAGTCCAGTACAGCTTAGCCGAGGAGCCCTCAGCAACTCCTCTTCAGCTATTAGTATTAAGTAGATGCTGTTAAATTTTATTTCCGGGATATAATAGAGAGCTTTTCCCCAGGGTCTTTGGACTCACAGGGGTTAATGGCATGAGCTTTTTAGAAAGAAAGAAATGGTTCACTATTAACTGATAAAAAAAATTTC